GAGTCTGATCTACATAGTGAGACCCTGTAGACCCTGTCCTAAATACAGAAATAAAAAAAAAAAAGTGGCAAACAAAATAAGTGGGAAAGGATCCTCCATGATCATGTACTCCAGGAAAAGTGCTTAAAAGGATCTTTTCAGGGCTGGGAGGTGGCTCAGTGGAATAAGCACTTCCCTGGCAAGGGTCTGTCACCAAGAAGGAAACCCTTGAAAAGGATCCTTTTTTTTTTCTTTTTTTTTGGCAGAACCGGGGATTGAGTTTAGGCCCTTACGCTTGCCAGGCAAGCACTTATCCTACTGAGCCATCTCCCCTCTCTCCTCCCCCCTCCCCCTTTTTAAAAAAGTATCCTTTGACTGCAATTTTGTTACAGGCTCCCAGAGCTCCCCAGACTTGGTAGAGCGCCTCATCTTTTTTTTTTTTTTCTTTTCTCTTTAAGACAGGGTTTTGGCTGGGGAGATGGCTCAGTGGAATAAGCGCTTCCCTGGCAAGTGCAAGTGCAAGGGCCTGAGTTCAATCCCCAGTTTCGCAAAATAAATAAATAAATAAATAAATAAATAAAAATAAAGACAGGGTTTCACTATGTGGCTGGCCTTGAGCTCGCATATAGCTCAGGCTGGTCTTCAATTTGCAACAATCCTCCTGCCTCAGCCTCTGGAGTGCTGGGATTACAGGCAGGCACCTCCAGACCTGGCTTCTAAGCTTATACATTTGCCTGTTAGTCAACATTTTATAAGTATTGTTTGTGTCTTGGGCCAAAAAAGCAATAAATAACACTGTCACAGATAAGATAGTCACAAGCCTTTGAGAACAAGGCTGAACCGAACAATGTCTTGATCCTTTATCTCCAGGTGGGGCTGGATAGCCACATTCTATAAACAAGAAAACTCGTGAAGAATTTAATGTTACCATCAAGTAACACAGTGAATGCCCTCAATGGTCATCATCTTTATCTTCTTTCAAAGTAACTAATCACAGTGGCAAACAGCTTTCTATGTAATCAATATATAATTAATATTGTTTCTACACTAGAAAGCAGCTTTCCTAGGAGACTTTAAAAGATTCAGGGGTGCGGCATATAGCTTCATGGTTGAACACTTGCCTAGTGTATGTGGGGAAAGGGTCCAATCACCAGCACCTCAAAAATAAATAAAAGATTTAGTGGGGCAGAAAACTGTAGTTTCTGGGGAAATAAATTGCAATGTTTAGGAAAAAGTGTCTCTAGCTACAGTTGGAGAAAGGGTAGTGGGAGCAGAGGAGACCCTGAATCAAACGGGCCCACTCTCCCACTTCAGCTCCCACCAGAAGTGCGGCAGGCAGGGCGGAGCAGGGTGCACGCTCACCGGAACTGTGGCTTGCAGGTCCCAACAGGGTGCACTTGCACGGGAAGTGCGGGAGGCAGGGGTGAGAAGGGCACAGGACAGGATCAGGGGATGGTCCTATCATCTAGACAGCCATGTCAGGAGAGGGGCCAGGAGGCACCGGTGTGTCTGTCTAACAAGCTTCCGCTGAGTATATCCAGGGTGCTGGTGCTCCTCTACATGTGGGCCCCTGGCAGGAGATGCCCCATTATAAACGGGTTTGGGAGTGAGACAAGGCGTTTGTGGCCCTGAACAGGGCTGTTTTGCTGGGAGAGAGGAGAGGCAAAGAAACAATAGTGTCATAGGAGGGATTTGATCCCGGGAAACAACATTTTTGCAGTAGTTAGCAGAGGAGAAAGCAAGCTGCTAGCACAAGGTCATGGAATTGAGGTGAAGAGGAAAGGAAAGGCCTTCAGGGGTGAGGTGGGGTCAGCAGCCCTCTGCATCTGTACCCCCACTGTGTGCAGGGCACAGAAGAGGATATTGTGCATCTGGCTGCACTACCTGGGACCACGGTACTCTGGGAGGCAGTGGCGGAGACAGGAAGCTCAGTCTGGGAAATTAGGGACTTGGTGGGATCCCGCCTCAAAATAAAAACAAAAAGGGTTGGGGCTGTAGCTTAGTTCCCTGGATTCAATCTCCAGTATGGAAAAGCAGCAACCAAAATCAGACCAAATGCACCATTTTTAGGAGGCTGGAGCCAGAGGGTCACTGTTAGTTCAAGGTCATCCTGAACTGACACGGAGAAAAACTGATCTCCTGTGGATGACCTTCAAATGATAAAAGGGAAAAATAAAACTCCTTACCTGAAAAGTACCTGGGATGAGTTTGTGTTCTCTAAAACCAAAGAATGAATTTTAGGAACAAATGGAGGTTATGAGCAGAATATATTTATTGAGGGAAAGAAAGCTTCTGTCCAAGAAAGGGACCGAAGGGAGGCTAAGTGGGTGGTCCCCAGGAAGCTGGCTCTTCCAGGGACTTTTTATAGAGGAACACCATGTGATGAGGTGGGTCTAAGGTGGCGGAGAACATGGGAACTTGCTTAGGTGGGCATGAGGTGAGACAAAACTATGGTCAACCAGTGAGATTACAAACACCATTGCTCAGGTAAAATTGATTAAACTCAGTATCAAATGGGGAAGCAAGTCACGGAGCAAGTGGGCATGAATTACAGTACAAGGTCTGGGGGGCCAGGGAGATGGCTCAGTGGAATAAGTACTTGCCTGGCAAGTGCAGGGGCCTGAGTTCAATCTCCATTTCTAAAAAAAAAAAAAAAAAAAAAGGACAAGGACTCTTCCTTCCTACTTGGGGTTGGATTAGTGACTCATTTGGGCTCTTTCAAGGTGACTGAAGTATTTTTTTGGCTGGCTCAGGCTTAAGGGTGGGTCTGGTGCAGCATGTGGAGCTGGGGATCCAAGGGTGATCCCCTGAGCCTGAGTTTGCCCAACCAAGTGCTTTAAACTGAGCTAACCAGCAAGACCGCTGCCCCAAGGTGATTGATGCCTATTTAGAATATCAATCCCTGATGCTCATCCCTAGGGAAGTATGTAGCTGTATTTGTTTCCTCTTTTGTCTTGAAGTCTGGCCTATAGGGAGTGTGTGTCTCTTCCAAGTTGCAAAGTCACCTTGTCTTCCATATGGTTTCTTTGAGGGCCTGGTCCTGTCTGACTACCTATAACATTTCTAACTCAGCTGCCTACAACAAACAGTATGACCTGGTCTAAAAAGTCCAAATAAGAGACTGGGCATGGTGGTGTGTGCCTGTAATCCCAGCTCTTGGGAGGCTGTAAACAGGCATATCAGCACAAGTCAGATCTAGTAGTGAGACCTTGAACACCCTGCAGACCCTTCCCTAAAGAAAAAAAAAAGAATCCAAATAAGTAAATAAAAAAGGAAAGAATGGTAGAGAGGAGAGTATAGATGTGCTCATGGGCCTGAAGTGACGTTTTAGAGGTAGAGGAAAGTAGCACAATGGCTGGGTGGTGTGGTACACACCTGTAATCCCAGCACTTGGGAGGCTGAGGTAGAAGGATCTCTAAATTCTGCGCCAGTCATGGCTACATAGTGAGTTCAAAGTCAGCCTGAACTATACGGTGGGACTCTGTCTCCAAACACACAAAAATAAAAAATAAGATAGAGAGCAGGACAATGAGTAGTGAACTTTTTCCTCTAGAGAGGAACTGGGCCTGGGGAGCTGGAAGGAGGCAAGGGAGACTTCCTGTGCCACTGACTTCAAGACCTTTCCTAGCTATGCACAGGAGTAGACTGAAAGGCAGCACCAGCACCTCAAAAATAAAGCAAGTGAAAGAGTTAGTGGGACTGGAAACTGTAGTTTCTGGATAAATAGAACAGAAATGTTTAGGACAAAGTGGCTCCCAAAGAAGGAGAAGGATGGCGGGTGTGGATCTGTGTCCAGACGACCAGGTAGCCGCAGGGAGGGATAGGAGACTGGGCTGTTTCCGTCTTTGTGGGCAGGCAGCTGAGCAAGCTCACCATTTTCTTCATTCCTCAGAGCATTATTTTGGGCTTTGCAGTCTCTCCTTCTGGAATCTCACACATGCTTGCTATGTAAACAGTCAGAAGTAGTAAACTTTGAGGAAATAAACCTGGGAGGGACTTAAGGGTGATCTCATTTTGCAGATAAGGGAGCTCTGCCCTGGAGGCAAGTGACTTGCTCAAGGTCTAGCGACCAGACCAGACGGAAATGGAGTGGAGATGCTCAGGCTCCAGGCAGCGCTAGCCAGGCTGATCTTGCAAGTATAGCCCCCACCTTGTTAATGATTAAACCCTGGTCTGAGCCAAAGCTTCTCAGCTGTGGTTACTAATTAAGCCAATTTCTGATTGAAACTAGGAGAGTGGAGCAGTCTTGCGTGAAATCTATGGGCCTGCAGATTCTATTAGCATAAACTGTACAATGACAATATTTCAAGTATATTTAAAATATTTCATAATACAATAACATAACCTCTCTGTAGCTTTACGGTTTCTCTTCATTGCAGTCTGCATGCTGGGCCCTGATAAAACTTTTAGGGAGAAGAACTGAAAATAACTCCACTTAGTGTTTGAGGGAAGTAGGTAATAAAATCTGTTTGCTGTGTTTGCTGTCTCTAGATAGGGCTGTAATTACACCACAGGAGGAAGAAAGGCAGCTGAGTCTCAATCTAGATCATTTATGTAAACTCGGCCTTCTTGTCAACGGCGATCTCATATTACAGGCGTGCAAACCACAAAACTCATCTCCCGAGGACGCACAGGGTGGGAGTCCGGTGCTGTGCCACTACCTGCGTTCTGTCCTGGGGTGTCTGTGGCACAAGACCCAACTTTGACATACTGAGGTTAGAAGAAAACTTACCGGTGAGCTCTCCAGTACAATTACATTTCTGGAACTTGTAAAAACTAGAGGTATTCCCTAAACCAAAGTATTACAGACAAATACATATTGCTTGAAAAAAGCTCCTTTTTCATTGGAAAAAAAAATTGGCTCTTCAAAATGTGTTTGGAGAAAAAAATTATCTTTAAGAAAGAAAAAACAGACAATTTCTAAAGTAGCCACGATAACATTTGATAACACTTTAGTGTACATCAAATATTTGGCAACTTTTCAGCAATATTCCCCCCAAATCTTACAAAAACCACGATGTGCAAAATATATTGATATTGTGTCTATAAAATCGGAGACAACTGGCAAGACAAAGAAAGCACATTTCTGCCTAGATCACCGCCAACTGGTCACCGGCCTTTGCTCTGCGGGCTCTCCTGGCTGGTATCGGCAGCGTTTCCCCAACACCTGCAGCTTCCAGCTCACTCTGTTCTCTCGAGAAGGAAAACCACAGGCCACCGCCCTGGCGCCATCCCTGGCCCAGTCCAATCAATAAGGACTTATTTCCTGTCCATTTGCTGAGGTCACAAGAGTGAATCTCATTAATTATTTCTTCCACTGCAGCCTCAAGTGTGCTTGTGGCGTGACAAGTGAAAACTGCTTGACCTTTTTTTCTAATTTTGCTTGCAGCTGATTCCAAAATGAAGGCAGTATTCATTTACAACGTGAGAAAAAGGAAAAATGTGTGTATATTCTTAAAGTCATTAATGTACTTAGCTATTTGAAACAAAAGTGCCTGGATCACCTCATTCCTTAGGTTTTTCAGCTAAGGAATAACACAGTCTTTTTAAATTCAGTGTCATGAAAATCTGGTCACTGCAAACACGATGTTTTCCAAAGCCGATCTGGCCTCAGAGGGAGGGAAGATCTCCAGAGCCTCCAGGGCCTTGTTTCCATGGTAACGACACAGGTCAATAGCTGAAGTCACACCTTTGCCAGCTTTGATTGTTTTGCGCAACTGTTAAGAAAAAAAGCACACAATAAAAGTCAAATTTTTGGGTTACAGTAGGGCCGCAATTAAATTGGGGGCTATAAAGGGAGAAAGTGCGGATACTCAGCATTTCTGCTTTGTTATTTTGAGGTGTTTAAAGAAGCCATCATTCCCCAGCGATTCCTGGGTGCTTTGGCTCCCCAATGCTGCTCTGACTCTCTGCTCCAATCAGCCTAATTACACCGCCCGCTGACTCCTGCTCCTGATAGGCTGAGATGTGCCCTGCAGGGCGGTGGGGTGAGGGTGGAGGGCATTTACAGCTCTGGCACACTGAATCCAGCAACCTGATCCGAGAGGAAGCCTCACCAACAGCTTTGGTTATAACTTTCTTTAAAACACCATGTTTTCATTTCATTTTAGGTTTTTTGAGACAAGGTCCTGATAAGTAGTTTCAGGCTGGCGTAAGCAGTCCTCTTGCTTCAGCCTCAGTTCTGGGATTACAGATGTGAGCCTGGTCAAATGCTGTATGTTGACATTATAGTCTAAAGACACATCCTGTTAGATATAATTGGATGTATTTAAAAGTTTTGAGGGGCTGGGGAGATGGCTCAGTGGAATAAGCACTTCCCTGGCAAGTGCAAGGGTCTGAGTTTAATCCCCGGTCATGGGACACTGCATCCAGTTTTGGTAGCTGGCTCAGCATGTGGTGGGCATTGCATGTAGTATCGGGAATTGAACCCTGGTCCTTGTACTTGCCAGGCAGGCACTTAAACTGCTAACCTATCTCCCTGGCCCCAAACATCCTTTAAAAAAAAAAAAAAAAAATCAGGCTGACAAATGAAGCCTTCTTTTCATCCTTCTTTGGTCACAACAAAGAATCAATAAAATGGCTACTCTTTAGAGCTGGAAAGTACTAGCAGTTACCTAGCCTCCTCGCTTTCCCTTGCTCCGGTCCCCCTTCTCATTCTTGACCAACCTCCCTTCCTGAACTAAGAGCCGGGAGTCTCTGTCCCTGGATGGAGGCTGTGTGGAAATCAGGTGTGAGCTGTGCTCCATGGCTGATGGGCCATGAACTTCACTCTGGGCTGCAGCACTGAGGGGTCCCCGTGGGTCCTATGGGCCTGAAGCAGTCCCTGGACATGTCCTCCACCTGGGTCTCCAGGTGGCTGCAGTGAGTGCCACAGGCCTCTTTGTGTCCTGTCATGTGTTGGGAAGGCCAGCCCTGCTGTCTTTGCCCACAGAAATGCCGCGTTCCCCTCCAGCCAGCCGTGCCCACTGGTAGTCAGTCTGCTCTGCTCTTCTTCTTTTTTCTTTGGTGGAACTGGGGATTGAACTCAGGCCCTTGCGCTTGCCAGGCAAGTGCTTATTCTACTGAGCAATCCCCTAGCCCTTCTCCGATCTTCTTGCCCAGCACCGCTCTCACTATCTCACCTGGGTGAGTTTTGCAATCACCTCCTAAACAATCTTCCCATCACCAGTTCTGCACCCCTGGACTCCAGCCACTATATACACTGCCAAGATCTTGATGAAATGCGAGTACAGTCTTGGCAGAAAACCTTCAGTAGTCCACAATAAGTCCTGAGAAAAAAGCCTATGTTCTTTTGGGGGCACTGAAGCCCTTTCCATCCTGTAGCTCTTGACTATTTCCATCTTTCCTGGCTCTCCTCCTTTCAATAGCTGTTAGGGGAACTAGTTGCAGCCCTCGGAGTTCACCTACTCTCTCCCCAGTCTGTCCTTCCCCTGGGCTCCCGGAGTCCCTTGGGTACACCTGCAGCACAGTATTATGTATGCATGTATGTATGTATGTATCTATTCATTAGTACAGGGTCTACAGGGTCTCGTTAGTAGATTGGACTTGTAGTGATCCGCCTGTATCCAGCCTCCCAAGAGCAGGGATTTCAGGTGTGCACCACCACACCCAGTCTCAATGCTGTCTCAGCAACCCAGGGAGGGGGCTGGCACAGCATGCTGGGGATTGAACTCCAGCCACTGTATATGCCTAAGCAGGCGCTTTAGTCTGCTGAGCTATTTGGCCGGCCCCTAGTGTTGTATTTTAATTTTCTACTCACTCTTTATGAGTCTACTGACTGCATAAGCATGAAACAAATAAATCTGATGGTTTATTCTGCAGAGGTTCGGACAAACTCAGTGAGTCAAGATCACAGACATAGATATATATGAATTATCAAAGCTGAATCAAGAAGATATAAAAATCACAAATAAACCAGTATCCATCAGTGAAGTGGAAGACGTAAAAACCTATCAACAAGGAAAAGCCCAGGCCCTGATAGATTCACTGCTAAATTCTACAAGAAATTTAGAGAAGACTTCATACCACCACTTCTTTTTTTTTTTTTTTGGTGGAACCAGGGATTGAACTTAGGCCCTTGTGCTTGCCAGGGAAGCGCTTATTCCATTGAGCCATCTCCCTAGCCCTACACCACCACTTCTCAAACTCTTTACTGACACTGAAAGGGAAGCAGTACTACCAAATTCGTTCTTGGAATAAGTATTACCTTGATATCAAAATAGGAGAAAGACCCAACTAAGGAAGATAACTACAGGCGAATCGCTCTAATAAACATATAAGCAAAAATCCTCAATAAGATACTGGCAAATAGAAAGCAGCAAATCACCAAGAATATTATTATTTTAATTTTATTTATTTATTTATTTATTTGTGTGTGTGTGTGTGTGTGTGGCCAGCTCAGCCCACCAGGGGGCGGGGCTGGCTGGCATGTGGTGCTGGGGGATTGAACCGCGGTCCCTGTGCTTTGCCAAGCTTGTTCTAAGTAGGTGCTTTAGACCACTGAGCCATCTCACCAGCCCTATTATTATTATTTTAATTGTTTTTTTTCCATAATTTTATTGAGAAACAAATAGCAATGAGACAGTTTTAAATCAAATTGGTAGGACAGTTTCAATAATTAGCACATTGCATACATTCTTCCTAGGGGTTAACTGCTGTACAAAATGCGGACATGATATCCTATTTACAAACACCATTAGAACAAATCTCTCTATTCATTAAGAGAATGTAACTATATATCTATCCTAACCACTTTGAATACACCGATAAAAAATGGATATTCACCTGTATCCTGTATCCCCTTTTTTGTTAAATTCTGTTATTTGAATATTATAGGTGTGTAAACTCAGAAAAATATTCCAAAACAGTCCAGTAGCCCATAATAGTATTGGGTCTTCCGCTTGACTGGCAATGTCAGAAATTGTTGACCTGAGTCCCCTACAGCTCAACATAACAGCATGGCTTTACTTCCTATATTTCGTTTTTATACTTCTCTGCTGGATAGTTAAGACCAAGGTAAAGCAGGACCTATGCAACAAGAGTTGTAGCTTTTGGGTCTGATAAGGTCAGTGAAATCCCCTCAGGATTTATCCTGAGATCCTGTACCTCAGATTGTAGAACCCTTGTCAGTGGCAGCCATGAGGATGAGTCACGGTCATTGCTTGGCCGATATTATTATTATTATTATTTTTTTTTTAACCAAGAAGATTATATACCATAACCAAGTGGGATCCATCTCAACAGTGTAGGGATGGTTCAACAAATGCAAATCAATGAGTGTAACACATCATATTAACAGAGCCAAGATCAAAAATCATATGATCATCTCAATCAATAGATGCACAAAAAGCATTTGACAAAGTCCAGCACCCATTCTTCATAAAAACTCTGCAGAAAATTGGAATAGATGGTCTTTATCTCAATCTGATAAAAGCCAACAGCCACCACTATACTAAATGGACAAAAACTGAAAGCTATCATTCTAAAATCAGGATCAAGACAAGGATATCCACTATCTCCACTTTTTTTTTTTTTTTTTTTTTTGGGGGGGGGGACTGTGGATTGAACTAAGACCCTTGTGCTTGCCAGGGAAGCGCTTATTCCACTGAGCCATCTCCCCGGCCTATCTCCACTTTTATTCAACATAGTCCTACAAACTTTAGCCAGAGCAACTGGACAACAGAAAGAATAAAAAGACTAACAATAGGAAAGAAGTTAAACTATCATTTGCAGATGACATGATATTCTACATACAAGACCCTCAAAACTCCACTAAAAGACTGCTAGATTTAATAAATTCAGTAGTATAACTGGATACAAAGTCAACACTCAAAAATCAATAGCATTCCCCCCCCCCAAAAAAAAAAAAAAGAAAGAAAAAGAAATACCTAGGAATCAATCTAATGAAGGAAGTAAAAGAATACTACATTAAAAACTATAGTACTCTCAGGGCCGGGGATATAGCTCAGCGGCGTAAGCACTTTCCTGGCAAGTACAAGGTCCTGAGTTTGATCCCTGGTACCATAAACCAAACCAAATCAAACCAACCCCCCAAAAAAACTATAGTACTCTGGAAAAGGAGACTGAAAAAGATATCAGAAAATGGAAAGATATCCCTTGCTCTTGGGTAGGAAGAGCCAATATAATGAAAATGGCCATACTTCCAAAACTGTTATACACAGTTAGTGCAATTCTGATCAAAATTCCAATAGTATATCACACAGAATTGGAGAAAACATTTCTAAGATTCATTTGGAACCAGAAGAGACCTAGAATAGCAAAGGCAATAGGGGCTGGGGAGATGGCTCAGTGGAGTAAGTGTTTCCCTGGCAAGCTCAAAGACCTGAGTTCAATCCCTGGTTCTGGAAGGAAAAAAAAAAAAAAAAAAAAAAAAAGCAAAGGCAATTCTGGGCAATAAAGGAAGGAAGGGGCATCACAATCTCTGACTTGATTTGAAATTATACTATAGAGCTACTGTGATAAAAGCAGCGTGGTAATGAGGGGAAAAAAACAGATACAAAGATGGAACAGATTAGAAGAGGCATAAACAACTCCAGACATACTCAGCCATCTTATCTTTGACAAAGATGCCAAACATATTCACTGGAGAAAGGACAGCCTCTTTAAGAAGAGGCACTGGGGGGGCTGGGGAGATAGCTCAGTAGAATAAGCACCTGCCTGGCAAGCACAAAGTCCTGAGTTCATTCCCTGGTACTGC